ATAGCCGTGCGAAATGGTATCGAGAACAAACTGAGGAGCATCTAAGGCGGACGCCCAAAAACCGACGGAGGACTTTAAACGGCCCTCAACTCCTGCACACGCATTGCCGGCACAAAATTCCTCTGAAAAACCAATGGAGGGGAAATCACACTGAACGAGAGAATGCGAGTCTTCCCCCTCAACCGTAGACATACGCGGCGAGGGTTGGCCCTTGAAGACTCGGACGGCTTGGGACAAAAAGCACTCAAGTGGCCGAATTCCTCGCACTATAAAAATAAAAACCAAAAATATATCAAACGACCTGATTAGCTAAAAGGAGTGAAACATAAAATAAAACGAAACTGTGGGTTGTAGGCGTTCACAGACCCGAAGGATGAATACGAATCAACGAGACACTTGTATAACCGCATGCAAACTATTTGACACCACTAAAATACCGAAGGACAAACAGACACTATGACACACCTAATTAACCGTGTAAGAACGTTCAAATAACAGATATCTGCCAAACTGCGTACCGCAGATATTTTTGCATTCTACTCTTCGAAATCACGTGCACTATCGAGAAAGTTTCTCGGCTGTAACTTTACTTCTAACATAAGCCACTAAGAAATATATCTAGCGATCTTGTGTGGCCTAACAAACTTACAGCGCAGCTTGTGATACAGATTCTAAAAGCAATTCAAGGAAAGGACAGTTCAAAATGTCTATAGCTTTTTCTAAACGTAAATGGCTACAACTAAATTAATAAATGGATTTTTAATCATTATCTCTAACCCTTTTCTAGCAAGCCACGCATACATGGGCGTAATAATTACTGATCCCCATGAAATTCTATTGTTCTCTCTCTGCATTAAATCAACGATTGTAGTCTTTAAGATGACAAAACAACTGTATGAGGAAAACGGAGGCGGTCCTTTTTGGTTAGCCGGGAAAATATCAGGGGTAATATAATTAAACGCGCTAAATAAGCATGCTGCAATATCAAAAATATTGCAGTGTGCAGGCTGCAATATTAAAAATATTGTTGTCTGCAGGTTACAACTATTAAAAATATTNGTTTTCTGTTTTCGTTTCATCGTTTTCTGTATTTTATTTACATGTAGTTTCATCATTCGACACTGAAGGAAAACAAACCATCGATTTGTATACTCTTCGTGTTTCGCTTGAGCACTACGCTAAGAACGCGATACGCATCCAAACACGAGCGGGTGATCTAGGTCACGTGACCCCAAAGTCTGAACCCACAGTGTCTCAAAACCGCAAATATTGTAAGGGATACTTCATACTGAACGACAAACAAAGTGAGCTTAAGTTTTGTATGGCCAAATTATAAGGTTTTTTGCCGGCTGGAAAAGGGTTAATGTTATCACTGGAAAGATTTGTCTGGGAACCGGCTAAATCCTCACAACGAATACAATTCTAGGTCATTCGCTTCACTTCTCCTTTTGAGTTTTTCCCGAAATCGCACTTTCAATATCGCATGCGTTTTTCACTCTCTTCTAAAGGAGGGGATGGGTGGGTGGGGAAGTATTCAGTGATGCCTTTTCCAGGTAACATTTTTTTTTAGTGAGGACTAACGTCATAGTTGTAATGATGAAGACAAGTAAGTTATGAAAAAAGTATCCTTTATTTTCTTTAAAACCTCTCATAAAGTGGAGGTAAACTAAGTCTGACGTGTGGTTTTGTCCTTTGGAAGTTCATAACTTCTACTTGTCCTACTGATTTCCATAACGTCTATTTGCGTTCAGTACTTTGGAGGAAGCGTACGTAAATGACATTGTTTTCAACACCGACTTCGTCATATATCATCCACCGTTGATAATCGTTCCGTTATAGAATTTCGTCTTGGTTAGATGACTACTTTTACGGCACTCAATCATTTATTCAGTCTAAAAAATACAAAATGACTATTATTTAGTAAGATGAGTATTTGAAGACAGAGGTATACGAGAAATCCTACGTTTAAGGTTATTCCTCAGAAAAAAGCTATCAAACAGTTTTTTTAATTTATTCAAACGTTCCCGACCGATGTCTCTTTCGAAAATTACGATAAAGAAGATAGGTCACCGTGTTTGTATTGGAGATATGAGGGACTAAAGTTAATAATAATAATAATAATAATAACTTGTATTTATATAGCGCTCATATCTTAAACTCATGGCGCTTTACAACACTTTACGGGGGAATTTACCAGACTGCGAAGCAGTTTACAATCAAATGAAAGTGAATATAACAGATGCCCCCTCCCCCCTATTTCCAGTAACCAGGGCAGACCACATCACAGTAATCTCGTGAAGTGGGTTCTTTAACGTCCCCTGCCTAACCAAATTAACTAATTAATAGTTGCAGGAGACAGGACCTCCATTTATTCGTCCCTATCCGAGAAGACTAGAATATCTAACCATTTCTTGATCGATGTTATAGAAAGGTAGCATATTCTNAGGTGTTTAACAATCTAGAGCTTTTTTTAGTTGCTGATCGTTTTTTTTTATTATAGTGACCCTAATATGTGATTGAGGGATGATATTCCACGGAGAAATCAGATATTAGTCACTCTTAGAGGGCAAAGAGTTAAAAAGTTTAAATTCGATAAGGCGAATATTCAGAGCTACAGGAAAACCACTTACTCACCAAGCACAGTAACCCCATTTTCGGTCAAGATCGAAGACTTTAGTGACTGAACACCATTTTTTGTCAGCATCTGCAGCTGTGCATCTCCAGAAAACCGCGCCTTTGTAAATAAAGGGAAGCCTACAGCAGGCTCCCTGGGCATTTCCTCCAACTGTAGTATGACCAACTTTACATACTTGAAAGTAAAGTAAACTGGGTCAGTTCTTTACCTGAACTTGAATCAGATTTCCTTGACGCGGTCAATAACATTTATATATACACTTATAAATTCCATAAATACCATAAGGTGAAAACACCTACCAAGTCTCTCAGCTCTTCGAACATTTTAGTTGCTCACCCATCTGCTCCTTTATAAGTTTTTTTCATGTACCCATAGTCAACGAAAACATGTTACGTTGATATCTCGTCAATGAGAAAGATTTAGTTAAAAACTGCGATTGCACTCGAACTGTGGAGCGTATATTTTTCTAAAATTTAACGAAACTACGAAGTTTAGGTCCTGCACTCAATCTTTACTTCAGATATATCATTTCACTAAAATTATCTCATTGATAACTAACCAGCTTCACTTGAACCTCTTTGTTGGCTCTTGAGTACGTTGTCGATCTGCACATTACAGCAATTCTTGGGACACGATCCGGAACAGGATGAGTAGCAGCTAGCAGGACACACTAACTTGGATCGAACACTTAGAGGGGAAGGTGAGTAGCTATCTAGCATCGGAATCGTCTTAGTTTCATGTTGTGTTGTCTTACAACACTGCTTTGGGCATTTATCATGGCAACTATGGTAGCAGTTTGCTGGACAGGGGAGGGTTACTGTGTAGGAAGAAGAATCACGAGCCACGCCAGATCGTGTCTTCGAACAACATTGCGCTGGGCAAGTATTGAAGCAAACTCTTAGACAAATAGGTTGACAATAGACTTGTGATGGAGTGATATTTGGTACGTAGGGAGAAGGAAGCGAAGAAAGATTACAGCAGCGAAAGGGGCAGTCAGGGGCACAAAATTTACTGCAAATAGCAGGACATACTGATGATGGAGCAGGCGAGACTTGCTGGGCTGTCGATCCTTGCTGAGCCTGTAAAGGCAAGAAAGTACACGTTTTCTTTTTCAATGCTGCAAACTGAGATGTAGACCTGACTCGGATCATTTCTGACAACAGGTTCCGTATTTTCTTTGATTTCACTTCCCCTTCTAAGTGAGTATTACCTGATTCATTGGTGCTTGTAGCGTCGGCTGCGCATTGCTGTGTCTCATGTTCTTTACACAGCAGTAGTCAGGACATGAATCGATGCATTTCCCATCGCACTCATAGGAGCAGGGTGCGTAGGAAATCTTGGGCTGGGGAACCGAACCAGGGGCATCACCTCGAAATAGATGGTAAAATTGAACTCAAACAAGTGTAAAAGTAAGGTCATAACCGTATTCAGGGGCCACGCTCAACCAGAATGCATAGCGGGCGAGGTGGTCATTCTCAGCAATTTTCTGTTTTACCAAAGAAAGCCCACTATGCATGTAATATCATTCGACTGAATCTCTGAAATCTCTGATCGTGAACGGCTTTTTATACAATCACTTAGTTCCTTTATGATTCTATCTTCTATTTGCTACATTTTTTGTTTTCTCCATCCCACTTTCACAATAACGCAGCTCTGAAAGAGGTCGTCCCGCAAGAAAGGAAAGACACCCTATAGACTTACAAAATCAACTTTGAAAACAGGGAATAAGTGAACGATAGCTTTAGTATTTAGCGAGAAACGAACTGGCAGCTCTCAGAAGCCCGATTAGCCCAGCATAAGAACTGCACTGTGTTTTTTTCCCTACCTCCACAATAGCCCCATTGTTTGTCAGCATCATAGTTATACGTGGTGGCACACCAAGGCGTCGATGCATCTTGACTGGTGCATGTTGGGTACATTTTACCTTTGTACACGAAGGGGAAATGACAGCAGTTACCATTTGAATTACCTCCATGAGAAAGAAAGCATGCTGCACAGAATCCCCAAAGCCTATCTTTGTCGTAGTCACTTGTAGATGAGCACCAGCGGTACCCTCTCTCAGCCCTTGTGCAGCGGTGTTGCGGGCTTCCCTGATAGATGAATGGAAATATGCAGCAGGTGCCTTTTGAGGTCCCTCCATGAGTGGGCATACATCCTGCGTTTTCCAAAAACGACCCAAATAGATAAACTATTAGTCGGAGTTATTGTAAATATGCATTTAATAGTTTACAAGCCGTTCGGAAGATTCGATGAATTTTTTTGGACATTGATTTTTAGCTTGTTCCTTTTGTCCTGACAAGGCAAGATAAGGACGCGTGAAAAGGTTTTTTTTTTCCTACGTAACAAGCCATTGGTCAACAATGTGAAGGCTGATAACATTACTATATGCCACTGGTGACAAAAACAAAGATTTAATGGGACAACCGGAGTCTGACATAGAAATATGGTGCCAAGAAATTTTTTTGGAAGCTGACCATACTTTCTTTCCTTTTCGGCGTGGATGTTAGCTTCTTTAATTTCGCATGTAATAACACGAACCAAGTTTTCTTAGACCACTTACAATGAATTGATGACGGAACAAAATCGGCTTAAGTAATTTTGCTACTTTTAATGAAATAACTACCAGACTCAAGGCAAAGTTTAAAAGGCTTTCATCGAGTTTTAGCAATTACGCAAACTAATTATACTTTAGCAGGTGAAAAACGTAGAGAGCTGATCCTCTCTAAGAACATATGTACAATTTTTTACTGAAAGCGATATGTTTTGCGGGATCACTTGGCTCACTACAAGCGATTTTGATAATATATTTTCAAAGATCAAAAGTCGGGATTGCTGTAAAATAGTCAGCACGCTAGTAATATTGCCGATGTAACTCCTATAAGCTTCAAATTAATGTCTATATATAAAATATTTCGGAATGAGTGTAATCATATTGACCTTTTACCAACAAAACGCACTTATACCAACCTGGAACCAAGGGAGGCGCTGAAATTTGTGGAAGTGTTGGCAAGGTAACAGAAGCAACTGTTGGTAAAGTGATTGGATTTGGTGTAGATGATGTGCAAGGAGGTAGAGTATTAGATGGTGTAGGGGACCCAGATGGTGAGCATGAAGGTGGGGAAACAGGAGGAGGATGAACGGGAGGAACGGGAGGAAGAAGAGGAGGGGGAGCAGGAGGAGGGGTATTGGGAGGAGGGACGGGAAAAGGAGGAGGAGGAGAGGGAGGGGGACGGGGAGGAGGAGGAGGGAAGGAAGGATTAGGAGGAAGAACAGGAGGGGGAGCAGGAGGAGGGGTATTGGGGGGAGGGACGGGAAAAGGAGGAGGAGGAGCGGGAGGAGGACGGGGAGGAGGAGGAGGGAAGGAAGGATTAGGAGGAAGAACAGGAGGGGTAGTAGATGCAGGAGGAGTTGCAGGGGGAGGAGAAGGAGAGGGAAGAGGAGCAAGAGGAGGAGTAGTAAAAGGCTTGCAAGGTGGAGAGCCTGAGGGTTGAGGGTTGCCATTTGGCCGGCAGGGTGGAGGTGTCGTAGGTTGCGGCTTTGTGGAAGATGTCGTAGTTGTAGTACATGGACGAAAGGGTATCTCAGGAGTACCTGGTAATTTAGGGTCACATGGAAATGGTGATGGGGGAGTAATAGGGGGTTTTGGTGTCGTCTTGGTGATAGGTGGATATGGGTTACATGGACCAGGCTTGGTTGTAGGATAAGATGTATTCGATCCTGTGGGACTACAAGGTGGTGGGGTTGAAGAAGGCTTGGTAGTTGTAATGGGCACAGTTGGGGAAGGGGAAAAGGGAGGCGGAGGAGGAGGTGGTAGAGGAGGTGGTGGTGGTGGGGGCTTGATCGGTGGAGGGGACAGTGTTTGTGGTGAAGGAGGAGTTGGATGGACGTGGGGATGAGGGGGAGGAACGTGAGGTGGAGAGGGAGGAGAGGGAGGAGGAGGGGNGGAGGAGGTGGAGGGTGAGGTGGAGGGGGAGGAGGTGGTGGAGGAGGTGGTTGTGTTTGTGATATGGGTGGCGGCGGAGAAGTAGGCAAGGTAGATTTTTGAGGCTTAGTCGTTAAGGGCCTTAGCGTTGTCGGCTTGGTAGTTGGAAAACCTGGAAAACCATAAAAAACAAAGAAATAAATAAAGGTCATAAAAAGGGTAATAAATAAATGAGTTCACGATGGATGAGTCTATGGGAATTTGTAGGTTATGATACCAAATTGTCAACCAATACCTTAGTAAGAGGACCTAACGTGAAGCAAGCCACACGTAACTTAGCAACAAAATATGAAACTACTCGTAACTTACTTGGTTTTGGCTTTGACGTAACTGTTACATGTATGGGGTGATAGCAGTGAACCCCAGGAACCGAATACAACATCCTCCTTCCGTCCAAAAGAATCTCGCGTTTTCCCGCCGGATCTTTCACCCAGAAAGTTACAATTTTATTGCTAGCTATAGGGATTGCACTCTTGTCAAGAAATAGTTGCTGACTATCTCCCAAGTCTTCCATGACCTACAAGTTACATTTTCACTTAATCATAAAGGACTAAACCGTGAAACTAACCAAAATATTTCCCTTTCGGTCAATGGATCTACGTGTGTATCCATAGGATTGCCCTCACGGACTTATGAAAATTTTGCCTGCTATGTAAGCTGAGCTCTCGATTTCTTAATCCTCTCTGGCTTTAACTAATTTTTGTTCCCGCTTAGGATAGTCTTTTTTTTTTTTCGTTTTATCAGGGGAGTCAAATTGCAATTCTTTGGTTTTTGGGCTTGTTCTCCTTAATATAACTGATGACGAAGAGCGCTTTAAAAATCCTAATGAAATGTAACGCACGAATTTTCTTCTCTGTGATTTCTTTGTTGCCATTTCCTGATAACTCGAACTATGAGTGACTTCCCCTTGAAGTTGTACTTGTCGAAATATTTCAGATGAATGGTTTGTTCAGTATAACGAGAACGATTTGAAAATTCTGGGAGAACTTAAATATCAGTTCTAAAGCTCAAAGTTGAAAACATCTTTCAGAAATCTTATCATTATCATATAGTGGTTATATAGTTATCAAGTTTTTTTCACAGACAACATTGAATTTTATGGAAAGCATAGGTAGACCATAGTTAAGCGCCCTTAACCTGGGATAGATATTTGGCATCATAATCAGTATCAAGTGATCTCTTGACCGCTTTCCCACTTCGAATAACATAGCGGAGTTGTAGCTTGCGTCCTTTAACTAAATAACCTTCTGGTTTGAGACTGGAATAGAGTAAAAAAGGAACGCCGGCATGATTCCAAAACGTGACATCGTAGCACGGTTCTGCGAGAAAAAAAGGACATATTTCAATCAGAAGTATACTCGTTTGTGTTGATATCCTTCTGCTGATAAAAGCTGCTAATGTTTTGAAGAGCTTAGCGTATTTTTCTATTATTTGTTCTGATTTACATAACAGACGTTGATTTTGGATGTAGTACATTAATCAGACGCTAAAAGGAGGTGGTCACTTTTAATGTGTTAAGAAGCATTTTGGGAAGCTACTTTCATTTTACCTTCGGGTTTATGAGGTTTTGCGGTCGTTGGAATTGTTTTTGGTGTTGTGCTGATGGTATGGGCTGGGATTGGCTTTGTTGTACTCGGTGGGTGGGGTAGCTTGGGTGGCTGAAATGTACCGAAGCAGTTCATACGTGGACTTTCTTTAGCCGAAAGAGGTCTTAGAACAAAAGCACATCGCCTCAACCAGATTATGTTATCGAAGTGGAAGTCCGCCTCTATATCCGCTCGGTGGTTGGTTTTATTTGAACTTCGACATACGTACCATCCTTTACGCCTTTTCAGATTGAACTGAAAACCGCCAGACTGCACCGAATACACTTGGGAAAACGCAAAACTGGCATCCTGCCCTAATAATAATTAAAAAAGAAAGATGAAACAAAATCAAATCGTGATGACTAGTTTAGTCGATAAATGAGCACTAGGAACGATGATAGCCCTGAGGGCGCCCACGGTAGCGACTGTGAAAAAAATCGACAAATTTCAACATCTACTGACTAAATGTTGGGTCTGTCGTCTGTCCCAAGATGAATTTGTAGTTTTTTTGGCGAACAAAGTTACCAGGTGCGCACACAGACTCGAATGATATAGACTGCTCATCTCTTGTTCCTGGAATGAAACCCGGAATCCTGGCAACTAAGACCTAGCAAGCAATTCCCAATAGGCGCTTAAAAGTTATTAACCATTCTAGTTGCTGAGAAACAAATAATTTTAAGACAAGGAAATGATTTGATCTTAACCTGACAAAGGCGAGACAGCTCAAGTCTACCAGCGTTGATTCGCCAGCAAAGATTGACTTTCGGGTCCTGAATAGCTGGTACATCAAGAGAGTAGATGACATACATAGCTGTACTCACAACTGTGATGGAAAGAAACATAAATCCAGCACAATTAACAGGACGATAGCTTTTCACTTGACTTCAAGCGTTACAGTAAGTTATCC